TAAGGACTAAAAGCAATCAAAGTTTCAAGTAGGGACTAAAACCAAAATCGTGTAATACTTAAGTGACGAAAAACATATTTAACCTTACTTTAAATACAAATTTTAGGTTTAATCCAATTCATTTAGAAAATGAACTCAATTAGGTAATTAAAAAAGTATACTTTTGGAAGGAGAGACTTGATTTAAAAAGAGAAAAAGTAGAGACTATTTATAGAGATTAAATACATTATCATTAAAATATATAAGAATAACCAATTTCAAGTAATGCAAAGTTATCTAAAGCCTAATTCAGTAGCATTTTGATTTTCAAGTGTTTGCCTTAATCTGTTCCCTGCAATACAGTTTCTCAGCAATTAAGTGGCCAAACGACCAACCCTAGTTTAAACAAACATATATATCTCAATTTTCTTTTAAGGGTAGTCAATGAACTCAAGCAACTGGAGAGCACTTTCAAATTCAATTTGGCATAAAATGAAATGCAGTATATGGTTTAGAACATTTTCAAGTTCTACGATCTTAGATTTAGACCTTTCTGAAATACATACATTAAGTTACACTATAAGTTTGTGAAATTGTCTTCAACAGATCAAATATCGAGAGGTGCGTTAAATTTGAATGTAAACTTTAATGTGAAAAAGTTTGATAAACTTTAAAAAGCTGTGCAAAAGTGTTGCAACATATATCATTCTGATCTAGAAACAGTGGAATAATAATTTGAATTTAGCTAAAGCTTTGACAGATGAATTTTCATGGCACAAAAAAAAAAGTGTTTGATATTGTACCGAAATGGAACTCTAATCATTTACACCATCTTGTCAACAAATAGTACACTCCATTGTGATTAGATCACTACAAATAATCAGCTGATATTTATCCAAAAAGATAATAAATCAGTACAAAACTTGAATAATGAATTGATTGATAGCATACTTTACTACCAATGTTAAATGAATTTGGTAAAATGGCAGCTTCTGCAACACACCCAGTGATATTTTAAACGTTATTTCCCGTAACATGCAGACTGAAGCTTTCAACCTCTTTCATTGAACTCAATTGTGGAAGACAATGACTTCTTAGAACTCTATCCAACAATACTATAATTAACGGCTATTATTCATTTGCCAAGTGCCTTCACTTGAGCTTTAAAAGTGTTGTACTATTATCTTATCTGTTTTCACGTCAAACAGCTGTAACATGGTTATGCCAAGGTACACTTTTGGATAAACTTAAGAAAAAAAATAATAAAATGAATTTTTATAATAGAATTAGTTTGTACTTTTTCAAAGTTAAACCTTTTTACAAATGCACCTTTTTTTTTTTAAATACTTGGGAGAAGTCTCACTACTGAATCAACCTTCATTTTAAGAACGAAGTATATATATATATATATATATATATATATATATATATATATAGTGAAGTAAATATAGATTTCTTAGGTTCATAGTTGTTGCATACAAGTCATTAGGCTTTTCGAAACATTGCATTCAATATTAGACTATATATATATAGGAAGTGGCACCAAATATCAATTTAAATAAAGTATTTATGACATGTGAGATAAATAGGAAGCAAGCTAGAAATTTTTCTTTAACATTGTCTTGAGGAGACTTTAACTCTTAAGTTTGTATCTAATTAATTATATATATTGTATATTTTTAATTTGAGAATATTTTAAATAACTAATATTATTTTAAAAAGTAAATTTTAAGTCTAATTCAATATTAAAAAACAATTTATAATTAATTATACATATATAACAAACATATATTATTTATATTGAATAAGAATATGCAATTTATTATTAGAGTGTAATTTTTATAATCTTTGTATAACACATATACCTATTTCAGAATTTAAATATGAAGATATGATATACCGATATCAGTTCTTTAACATCACAAAACTTTTCTAAATTTAAGCAAAAAAACACACATTATAATATTATGCAATCCATTAATCAAACTTGGTCTGACCTATATTTATACCATCTTGTGAAGAAGCAATAGATTCCCGCTTGATTGGATGAGTACAATCAGTACATGTCTTGCACGGCCAATAATTAAAATTGAAAATATATGTGTGGATCTAATGCAATCCACAAATGCTTTTACACATAAATCTTTTATATTTATATGATACAATAAAAATCATTTAACGCATAAAAAATTAATAATATCTTTTTCCTTTAACTTGAGAATCGAAGTGTGAGTTTAAGTCCCACATTAGATAAAAATGAGAAAGTAGAACATTATATAAAGATGAAAGACCCATTTGCCCATTATTTTAAAATTTTGGGTAAAAAGTAATATTAATATCTTATATGGTTGAGCTCATATCTTATTCATATTTATATCTCTAGGTGAACCTCCTTCTCGACCCAACACCTTCTACAACTTTCACCACTTATATAAATACTTTTCTAATATTATATTTTCATAGTGTTACTTCTATATTTTTATACTATTCATGTAAAAAAAAACTTTTATTTTTTTTCCTAATTTGTATGGACTATAAGCTTTGTTTAACGGGCCCATTTCAGATTTAGACCCGCTCCCCATAATCCTGAAATTTAGTATTAGTCAACTCATCTAATTCCATGTTATTAAAGTTTAATTTACTTTTACACTTGCCACTTTCATTTATCGAATTTAGTCTTTAATACTCTTTAATTTCATCTATGAATGGGTTTTAACTATGTAACTTTCATTTATCTATTAATTAATGTTTAAGAAAAATACTAACATGGCAATATAGTGTTAGCACAGATTCACTAATGTAAAGAAAATTGATATTTTGATAACTAATCGTACTCTCTTTCATTTCTCTACAAAGATTTTTTTACTCGTGAATGTAATCCTCCGTTTTAGAATTCATTGTTTTAGGGTTTTTAAAAATCGGGTTGATAGGTTATTCTCCAATAGATTTAATAATCTCCCATAATTCATCAATTAAGATAAAAAAAATAATTCAAATGAATATTTTCTTTGAATTCACTAAAACGTCTTATAAAAGTAAAATCATCCGAAACTCCAAATTTATTGACTTTTTTTTTTTACTTTGATATTATTTCATTCGGACCAGTTAAAAAATTTCATTCCGAAGGAGATTATACCAGTTCATTGACTGGTGGAAAACTTTAATTTCCATATTGTTTATATGATAACTATGATTACTCATATCAACTTCATCATCCGTACATAACACTCCACACTCCCATGTCCTAAATCTCATTCGATTTTGTTCTTTTGAGTGGATTTGAGGAAATAGATTTGAAGGGATTTGAGAGGATTTGAAAATAAATTTTTTTGTCGTTTATTTGAGTGAATTTTAAGGTAAATGAGAGTAAATTTGGAAATAATTTTTTTTTAATTTGTCATGTCAATACAATTCTATACTAATTCTCACAAATTTTATTTCTAAATTTACTCTCATTTACTTTCAAATTCATTCAAATAAAAGACAAAAAAATTTATCTTCAAATCCCTTCAAATTCACTCTCTCAAATTCACTCAAAAGAACGATGAATATGATCGGAGACTGACACACTTGCAACCATTTAAATTTGTATATGAAAAATTTTCCAATATTTTAGTCAACTGTTTGAAATGTATTGAAGACTAACAGAGCCATGTGAATTTAATTTGAATGTAGGTAAGGTTTTGATGGTGACAAGGAAATAATTCATCAAGGAATTAGTGGAGTTGAATTGTGATTAGATAAGTATATAATGAGTACAAGTGTTGCACGGCAGATAAATACAGATGGTTTAACCAATCGCATTTCCATCGTACAACAGAGTGATTTAATGAAAATTTCATCAATGGCTTTTTTATACCATCTTGTCAACAAATATTAAATCAATGACCTTCACCCTCCAATCAGTGTACTTTCATTAAATGAGTACAGATCAGTGTATGTTGTGAATCTACCAATTACATCATATTTCAGGGAAATCAAATGTGGATCTATCTAACCAATTCTAATAATGGATTTCTCATCCAACTAAATTTCTTTACCTCTCGTTTCATCTCTTGCTTCTTGAATTTTGAAGAGTTTTCATATCATATTTAATCATTTTATATAGTTTAAATATTTTTTATTTATTTTATCATTTGACATGTATTTTAAAAATAAAACTACGATGAAGTTTCGTGTTCTAAAACAAACAATATTTTAAATATATAATGATTAATCATAAATATCACGATGATTGATCATAAATATCATTTAACTTATTTGAGATCGAAACATTAGTTTCTATTATACTCAATAATCTTAAGTAATTTAGTAATTAATACTTTTTTCACTCAATTAACCCTAATAATATTATCTATGATCAAAACAAATATGAAGAACCCTAATAATATTATCTATGATCAAAACAAATATGAAGAGTATATGAGATGATTAATCAATTTATGTGAATCCTTTTATATTCTACTTGGATTCATACGTCATTTGTATTGCATTTCTCTCATAAAAGAAAAAACTCTATAGTGGTATCACATGGAAAATAATAAAGAACTCACTTGAATAAGAAACAAGCACAACACATAAATAAAGGAGAGATTCACACCAATTCGAGCTCAAACTTAGATTCGCAATTTGATTTCTAAGAATAATTTATAATTCATTTTTCTATTAATCTATTATATATATACTACAAATTTTTTCCTATATATTAATTTTCTTTTATATAATATAAATAATTTAAAATATATTTTTTCTTTTCTTTTAAAGAGCCTGTTTTTCATCGGTCCATTCAAATAAAGCATAAACAGCATCAGCGCCTTCAATAAATAAGCAGTGAAGGTCATTGGCAGCTTTTTGCCTCCAGGTTTGAGAACACACTGCATGATCTTTTGAATACATGTGTCCCACATCATTCTCTACTTTCAGAGCTGATTCTTCCTCGCACCTTCGTCTATAAATCCACAAGAATATCTTAAACATTTTTCACCCAACCCAACTTCTACCAAACACTATACTATACTGTAATGGCTATTCGTTTGCCTTGTGTTTTGAGTGCAAAATACATTCTTCGTCGATCAAATCCGCTTGCAAATCATGCAGCTGCAACATCAGTGGGTGTGCCTAAAGGGCACTTTGCCGTGTACGTTGGAGAGGGTAAAAAGAAGAGATTTGTGATACCAGTATCAGTGTTGAATCAACCCTCATTTCAGCGACTGTTAAGCATAGCAGAGGAAGAATTTGGCTTCAGTCATCCAATGGGTGGGCTTACGATTCCATGCACAGAAGACATTTTCCTTAACATCATCTTCTTTTCGTAGGCCGTGACATGCAGTTACAGTAAACTTTAAGACAGTTCTTCTTTTATGGTTTTTTTATTTTCACATGGGCTTCATACTCATGCAGAAAAGTTACTATGATGCTGTTGGATTTTGAGAACTGTCGGCAAATAATGATGCATTTAAAGTATTACTATGTTCCCGTTTGGTTGTTGTTTCTCAATTACTATTTCAACCATTTTAGTCTTCACGTATGAACTTATCTAAATTCTTTCCGGTTATGTATTTCCTTGTAATATATAATTTTTTTTTAGTTCCTATAATTTATTTCTTAAAAGAAGAAATTCAAATTTTAAAAAAATATGATTTTTTTTATCAATCATAATGAATATATAAAATGAGAGTATTCAGGCACTTCAACACATATACTTCATTTACAAAAGCGAAATGAAAATGAAGCATACTCAAAATTTTCCTACAGATACCACTCTGTCAGCATATTAAATGTCATAAGTATTCACAAAATATCAAGTCTAATAATATGAAGTTAGTTTAATTTGACCAAGCTCAAGCAACAATGACTGATTGATGTTCTTCCTTGTGTTTATGTAATCATGACTGAGTATTACATTGTTTTCCTCTTCTTAATTTTCAACTCATTTATGAGTGGACCATGTAGTGATTCATCTTTTTTTTTCTTAATCTATAACTACAAAGAAAACAAATACTGTAGATTAATTATAATATTTAAGTTTCAAAGATTCCATAAAACATTATAAATTCTTTAATTCCATTCTTCAACTATTTACATTGACTAGGTGATATGAATATATATTTCAACAAATTAAATCAAAATAGATCTTACAGTAACTTAAAGAAAAAAACTTATATCTATTAATTATCAAACCAAAAAAACTATAAAAAGTAAATATTATTTAAACATATTTTTAGAAAAATCGATAATGAGGATAAAATTACTCTTCACGTGTATATAGCTTGTGAAATTGTTGTAATTGGCAGAGGAAGAAAAATGCAGTAGAGTAACAAACTAGCTAACTCAAATCATCTTCGTAAAATACATTAGGCATGTTATATATTTTTCATGCTTATGAATTATAAAAGGGCAACTCATTGATTGAGTGGCAAACTAAACTAGTCCATCGAATTAAAATGTGGAAATTACCTTTTGATTTAAGAGAAAACATTTTTGTTACGGAAACAAATTGCACTAATTAAGCATATACGAAACTCTCTCATAATTAATTTGTGAAATAGACTGTTTTCCTTTTTTTTTTCTTATCTCAAAATAACAATTATACGACACATGGCTGAAGGTTTGAATATACTATTTCAATCCTTCGCCAACCGGCAAAAAAATTAGATGGGGCATAAGGGTTAAAGCTACATCGTTTCCTTAAAGTTTATTTATCATTTTCCATCTAATATTTATCATAATTATTCAACATGGCAAAAAAAATAGTCATTAATTACTTTCATTAAATTGGTTTTAATACTATTTAGAAGATGATAGCATGAAAAGTTGGTGTCAAGTTAGATAACTCGGTCACACTCAACAACGACACATGTCATTCATCTCCATTAAAAAAAATAAAATAAAATAAAAAACTATTTTTTAATTATCTAACTAATATACCCGCACTGCCATTCCAAAATCAGTGAACGATTGTGTTGAACAAATCGAATAGCAAAAGCAGTATGAATTCAATTTGAACGTAGTTGAGTTTTGATGCGACTAGGAAATAATTGATCACGGAATTTCAATCAGTGTAGAATTGCATTCCTATCAGATGAGTATATGCATATAGTCAGTACATGTTTTGCACGGCAAATACTTGCACAGATGATTTCTGAGGTCAAATAATGTGAATCTAACCAATTACAATTCCATCGTACAAAAGAGCTGTTCATAATATTCACACAATCATTTGAATCTAATTATATAAAGAATTTGACATCATTTTTATCTAAAATCGTAAGATAATTCACTAATATATTTTCATTTCTATTTAACCTGGAATTTAAACTCTCACTTATAATTATAATAGGATTACCTTGGCCTTGAATTAAGATTAGGTAGTCCAAATATATAAGACTATGTGTTCGTTTGGGTGGATGTCTCTCATCAAGTGAAAATGCAAGAAATGATTTGCGATGAAAACTGTGTTTGTTTGGCATGATTTGGAACGATGGAATTAAGATGATTTGCGAGATATATGAGTTTTTATGATCTCTGCATAATGCGATGATTTGCGATGATTTGAAGTAAAATCTCATGTATGCCCTCACTGCTTTGTAAAAGTATACCTTCGCTGCTTTGTAAAATACCAACCGAAAAATAAAACGTACAAAAAGAATTCCTTAAAGAAGATGAAAATCAGAAGCAGCGTATTCGGTTACAGGAAGGGGTATTCGGTTTCGCCCCTGCAACCAAAAGAGAAAGGGGTGTATTTGATTCCCTCGTTACACTTTCACCCTCTCCACTCCACCAAGGTCTTTTTCCCATCGTTACTTTCTTTCTTGATTTTTATTTAGTAGTTTTTATTATGCCTTTTTGCCTGTTTGTGCTTTTTATTCAGTAAATTAAGAGTAGAAGAATACCCAAAATGAATCCTAAAGTTTGTTGCTTTAATATTTCTTTTCGGAATTATATTGATAGTTTTTTTCTGTCTTTTTTAATCTTATGTTTATTTGATGCTAGGGTAAATAATATTACAAAAATATAACAATTAAAAATAAATTCGTTTTAATAAATTCAATTTTTGTACAATATCAAAATTAATTTTAATAATTAATATTAATTTTTTACTCTCTATAAACATTTTTACAATTAAATATAAAATTAACAATTATTATTTTATATTAATTTAATAACTAGGGGTATTTTGGTAATCTTCAATTTTTATCAATTAAACAAATTCTTTTAATCAGTCACATCAATCAAATCTTACACTAATTCTCAGACACTTTACTTCTAAATCTACTCTTAATTACCCACAAAGCCACTCAAAAAAACAACAAATAAATTACCCTCAAATCTCCTTAGATCCTCTCAATTACTCTCTCACAAATCATCTCCCACAAATACATCCAACCCAACAAAGCATAAATTTGAATGTAGATCTAATCTAACCAAGTGGATCTCCACCGTACAAAGAGGTAGAAACTTGCATTTATGTGATGTTTGTTGAAATAATTAATTTGTAGGAGTCATGTACATGTGTTCACTCGGTCAGATAAGCAGTGAAGTTCATCAACACGTTTTGGCCAATAAGTTTGAGTACACACTGCGCGTTCTTTTCAATGCATATGTCCCACATCGATTAATACATCACCCAAACGCTTTCATCTATAAATACACACACAATATCCCACACTTCCTCCACACAACTCAATTCTCAAACACAATAACCTCTTCCAACTCCTAACCAATACCACACATGGCTATTCGTTTGCCCAGTGTTTTGAGTGCTAGACACATTCTTCGCCGGTCTAGTCTTTTTGCAAATCATGCAGCTGCAACATCACTCGATGTGCCCAAAGGCCACTTTGCTGTGTACGTAGGAGATGCTGAAAAGAAGAGATTCGTGATACCTGTGTCATATTTGAACCACCCTTCATTTCAAGAGCTTCTAAGTATAGCAGAGGAAGAATTTGGCTTCAGTCATCCAATGGGTGGTCTCATCATTCCCTGCACACCAGAATTTTTCCTTAACATCACCTCTAGCTTACATAGGCTATGATCTACGTTTTACCACAGTTTTTTGTTTCATTTTTTTGTTTTTGCCTTTTTTGCCTTTCAACATGTGGTGTCAGAAAAGTTTACCCATGCTGAAAGGTTTTTCGAATTGTATCATTGGCAAAGAACATCAGTACAAAAACAATGGATTACAAACATCACTATATTCCATGTTGTTTACAGTTATTTTTTACAGTTATTCTCTCTGTGTTTCACTGCTGAGCTTAACTATATACCTACGTACTAATCTAGAACCGAAAGTGACTTCGATATCCTTAAGGATGCTAAAGTATAGCTTATAAACTTGTTCAATCAAAGTCATTGTTAAGTTCTCAAAATTTCCTACAAAAGCACTGAGGCATATATATGGTTTTTCTAGTTTTGGAATCGTACAGGAATATCATTCAATAATTGAGTGGACAACTAAACTAGTCAATTGTATTAAAATATGAAAAACACCCTTTAATTTAATTATTGGTGAAATAATAATAATAATAATATAATAGGCAGGAAGCCTTCCTTGAAAAATCACTAGACAGTACTATCATAATACAGCTGATGTCCACACCACACAAATCAACCAAGTAGGATCCGGGAAGCTTCCTCTTCTATTAACGGAGCACAGTTAACAGTACAAACATTAATGGTGGAAGACCCGAAATGTTTTCTATCATAACTTCCAAAAGAGATACGAATCACACAAGCTGATATATATGCAATACGTCTTGAAGTTCAGAGAATAAAAGATTCGCATTATACTGATATATTATAATAGATTTGAGAGGGAATTTGAGCTGTATGTGTTTATAGTACTTCTTAGAGGGCTAATTAACAACTAATCAACAAACATCTCCAGCAACCCAAATAAGTTATTATTTTCAACGAATTAATATCTTGTAACATTTTCTGTAATACCAATTAATGAACACTCGGAATTCTTGATGGGTTTCTTCCGAATTTTTAATGTTAGTGATCCTTCTAATAATCCTTTTTTTTTTCAGATTCCATTAAGAGCATATTGTAAGTTGTAGCTATATTTGACCTAAATAGACAAAACGTCAATGGATTTAAGGTATTGTCAAGTTTCTCTGTATGTGGTTTGGCATATTAACAAGCAGTGTATTAGGGTTTAGTCAGAAGAAAGAAAGAATATAAGTGATGTAAGTTATAGGAAGCTAAGGATTCTCTTTCAACTGAAGCCATATGCATCAGTCAATTGCCTACTATAAAAGTCTAAAAGCAGTGTGAATTTAATTAGCGTTTGAAAGTTGACTATGAATAATTGATCAAGGAATTCCAATCCGTGGACTTGCATTCCGATTGGAGCAGTACAGTCGAATATTCAGATGACAGAAACGTCGATTTAGGCAATTAAATTTCCATCGTACAGAGTGGTGGTTGATACTATACCCAAATGAAAATCTAATCAAATTTGGTCACAGGCCCAGTTATCTTGTCAAGAAAAAGTAGAGTCGCATTTATTATGATTAGATCAATGGTGTTCACCTTCTAATCTTGAACTTGCATTATGAGTTTATGACTTTGTACAAATCAGTATATGCTATTGCACAGCTAATTATCAGATGATTTTTGTCTACTTGAGGTGAAACGTGGATCCAATCCAGCCAGTTACATTTCAAACGTACAAAAGAGTGGTAGGAATTGCACTTGCACCATCTTGTCAAAAAACAGTAGACGCACCCGTGTTCGAAGAAAAATTATTTTTGAACGTTGGAGTCTTAGTAAAACAGAAAGAAAGAGACCTACGAGAAATAAACTGCTAGAAAATAGCGAGGTTATTGTAGTAACGAAGAGTTTAATACATAGATATTGATGTCAAAACAATAGGCTATCAACCAATGAAAATTCATTATCAGTATAACTTATAAGATAAAGAAGATAAACAGTGATGAATTATTACTCTCCGACCAAAACAAAAAACTGAAATAGTGAATTGTATAATCTTTCTGAAGTCCTTCTCAAAAGAGATCATAAACTATTCTATGTATGTTAAATCAATTTGGTGAGGCAAGTGTAGGTGTTTTCTGGGAAGTGATGAGTTTATGCAATAAATAAGAAGAGAGGGTCATCAACGCGTTTCGTGCCAATTATATTGAGTACAGGCCGCGTGATCTTTTGGATGCATATGTCCCACACAAATAAAAACCCACTCATTCCTGCTTATGCTTTCATCTATAAATGCACACAATGTACTAAGCATTTTCCACCAACTCAATTGTCTTGCAAGCTCTAAACAACACTACCATGATGATGGCTATTCGTTTTCCAGCTGCCTTCAGTGCCAAACACATCCTTCGCAGATCTAATCTGTTTGCAAATCAGGCACTCGATGTGCCTAAAGGGTACTTAGCTGTGTATGTAGGAGAGGGTGAAAAGAAGAGATTTGTGATACCAGTGTCAGTGTTGAATCAACCCTCGTTTCAAAAACTGTTGAGTATAGCAGAGGAAGAATTTGGCTTCGATCATCCAATGGGTGGCCTTACTATTCCATGCACACAAGATATCTTTGTTAACATCACCTCTGGCTTACATAGGCTATGACATGATGCAGCTAGTAAATCTGAAGATAGTTTTTGTTACATAGTTTTTTTCCTTTCAACTATGACATGATGCAGATAAATTAAATCTGAAGATGGTTTTTGTTGCATAGTTTTTTTCCTTTCACGTGGGGTTAAGAAAAAGTTCCCCTTGCAGAAAGGTTTACTGTGTAATTGGGTTTTCAGGTTACCTTTCAAGTGTATCATACGCAAATAACATCATAAACGGATGAAAAACATTACTATATTAATCCATTTTTGCTTTCTACTCTTTCTTTTCGTTCTTTCTGTGAATTTGAAGCCACTACTCATAATTATCTTGGTAAAATTTGAACTGAAAGTTACTCTGGTAGCCTTATGCTCTATTCGTTTGAGCGGATTTCACTGTAGACGGGATTTAAGAAGATGGAAATGCAGTATTTTTTTTGTTCGCTTGAAAAGAAACGAGGGTGATACTGCGGATGGAAATGCGGGATTGTTTACCAAATCTCTCATGTTAGGAGAGATTTGAAGGATTTGTTGTAATTTTATTATATTACCCTTATGGCTTTAATAATAATAATAATAATAATAATAATAATAATAATAAAATAATTATTATTATAATAATAATAATAATAATAAATAAACAGTAATAATAATAATACAATTTTTTCATGTTAAAAGTTAATTTTTACTTTTTTCTTTTCTTATAATAATTTTTAGAATTATATATATATAATATTAATAATTATAATTTTATATTATTTTTACTATTAAATATATTTTAATAATCTTCAATTTTTACCCATTAAAATCTTTAATTTTTATTAATCATAATATTAATAATTATCATTTTATATTACTTTAATAATTAGGATATTTTGATAATGTTTCATTTCTATCCATTAAACAATTTTTTTATTTATCACATCAATCAAATCTTACACTAATTCTTATAAATTTTACTTCCAAATTCACTCTCAATTACCTTCAAATTCACTCAAACAAAAAAAAAATTCACCCTCAAATAATAAGATTTTAATTCATCTTCGAATCGAACTACACTTTAATATTTTAACTTCCTGTGTCAACCCCAGGAACACAATCAAATGGGTTGTTGTTGTCCTCAAAAATGCCTGGAGTAGTACTATTATATATTTTCTTCAAAAGTTTTTATTAGTTTAATGTTCAACATAGTTAATAATATATATATATATATATATATATATATATATATATATATATATATATATATATATATATATATATATAATTTAATATCTTGAATATAGCTTTCATTTCCTTCTTTAAGTATTAGTAATAAAATTATAATCGATTGGAGATAGAAGAAATCGAAAGTCAATTGTGAAATTAGTTGTGATATCATTTTATATAGTAAATGTACAATATGACTGGGTGGCCGTTACCCCTAAAGAAGGACAAATGGTCATGTAAGAATATCAAACTCTGAGAAGATATCACGAGATCATCCTGTCGATAGGATTAAAAGTCGATTGGACGATTTTATAATAAAGAACTCTTTAGAAGACATTGAAAATCAAAATTAAGGATAAGTGTTGATTAATGTATAATGGATCGAGATTAGATTGTGATTAAGGTTATAAATTATAAATAAAAATGATAAATAGATAGGTGATTGCATTTATTATGAATTTAAAATTTTATTCTGATCCATTCAGATTAATTATTAACTTAAGCATGAGAGTATCTTTGATACTTACCTCGATGGGTTACGAAGGAAGACTTCGACTTAGAACAAACATAGACTTAAAACAAATATAGGAACCCGTAAAACTAAGGAGTAAAAGCGTAAAATTGTGTTTCATAGAATTGCTCGACCTTACTCCTAAAAATAACTTATATCTTAATATTATAAAAATATATATATATATATACTTAACAATTTAATAAATTAAAATTTTAATTATATTTTTATTTTGCAAAAGATGAGGTCTCGCGGGAGGAAGGAGGAATGATGCTTATTGCACCCTAGTCATATGTGTGAAAAATATCGGCATCCCACTTCAGGATTTATAGAATTTTATAATATATGTGTTGTGCTATTATCCAATAGTTGACTACTTAGTCCTGAATTTTGCAATAAAGTGTGCATGATATGGTTTCTACATCTTGCTTAATTTTTTGTCCTATTTTCTCTCGTGATTTCCTTTTCATGAATTCTCTCTTGCTCTCAAAGATACAAAGTACTATGATTTTCAATTTCAGGAAAAGGATGATTGAGCAATAGCATCTATGCACCCTGATTCCTGTGTATGTTGCTAGTATCAACAACGACTCTTCTTGATTCCATTTTCATTTTCTTATTACATGTCTAAGTCCAACATATTTGAGTTTTTGCACCAATCTCGTGTAAGTGGCGATGTCTCAGCCATTAAGAAACTCCACGCTCAGCTACTAAGAACAGGCATGATCTTCCTATCCCATCATCTCCACACCCAACTCATTTCCACATACGCAGCATGCCTCCCTTACAACAACCTTCACTTGGTCAAAAACTTCTTCAAATGCATGAATTCCACCAACCCATTACACTTCAACGTCATAATATCTAATTTCTGTCGCAAAGGTTTCCC